GGCACTGCAAGAACAAGCTGTTGTTTTCGTTGCTGCTGGTGTTTTCATAGTCACTGATTTTGTCAAATTTTCTAGTGTTTCAGCTTCAATATTGTGGTAATTAGTATTTGTGAGCCTATATCCATAACTTTTTTTGAGAATGTAGTAATTAAAGGAAAAGAAGGAGTGATATATGGGAATTACGATTTAACAGTAACATTAGTACAAAAAACATTACTAAGGATTTTGGATGGTCTGTTATGGGAGGAGGTCCATGGGGTGGGTTGACACCATGAGTTATCATACTGGGTGACACCAACTCTAGTGATGCCACTGGGCTAGAGCCACATAGGGCCTCAGAGCATATTTACCATTGAGTTGGTGAAAGGAAACAAATGAAGTATACATGGTGAGAATAAATTAACGAGTCATGAATCAATGAACTTATTCAACATTAAATGTTGGAACACCAGTTGCCTGGAGTCCAGTCTATTCAACTCATGGTGACCCTATGAGTGTCAGAGCAGAACTGTACTCCATAGGGTTTTCAACCGCTGATTTTCCAGAAGCGGACTGCCAGGCCTTTCCTCTGAGGCGCCTCTGGGTGGTTAGCAATTGAGCACATTAACTATCTGCACCACCTGGATATTCCCAGTTATGGAGGATCTCTACAAACCACATGTTCATATTTTAAGAACCAAAATAGGGGGCCAAAACCCAAAACCCATTGCTATCAAGTCGATTCTGACTCATAGTCATGACTCATAGTGACCCTACAGGACAAAGTAGAACTACCCCAGAGGGTTTTCAAGGCTGTAATCTTTATGGGAGCAGATCCCCAGGTGTTTCTTCTGTGGAGCAGCGGGTGCGTTTGAACTGCTGACCTTTCGGTTAGCAGCTGAGTGCTCAACCACTGCGCCACCAAGGTCCTTTCAATAGGGGGCAGCTGTCTTCAAATATCAGCACCTACTGAGAACTATGGTGGCTGGAATACTCTGGAAAGAGGAATAAAAGGAGACACAATGTCATTTGCTACTATGAATACCTTTGATACTATAAGGAGAGAAAGAAAAGATAGATGCAGAAGGCATAATGCCCCATTTTAGCCCCCATTTTATGCTGTGTGCCATTCTAGGTGGTTTACTTCTACTGTTTCCTCCATTTTGAGAACTGAGGAAATTGAGAGAGACATAATCTCATTTTGAAGACAGAAAAATTGAGAGAGAAATGAACTCTCTGACCTTTAACACTTGCACTCAATTAAGCAGAACTGGGTCATTTTATTTTTGCCCTCCTCTGCTTCTTTTAAAAGAAATGAAGGGTCAGAGGCATGAAATCGTTAAACACATGATTAATTACATGACACCATGGGCAGCACTGAACTAAGTGGCCCACAGAACCTCATAGTCTTGTAGGACCAAGATCTGAAAGAAGAGAGTTCACCTCCCTCATCTTTGGTAGTCTGGGATCCTTCATCACAAGCCCACCCAGAACTGTCTTCAGCCCCCTCCCACCACCATCTGGGGCCCCAGGCAAAACACCTGGATGTGGGGTGCTGAGGCCCCTTGACCCCAGGGACTAGAGCAATGTTTGGGGGAATCCCAAGGACCCAATGACCACACACCTCCCCTGGTAGCAGCCAATTTCCTCCCAGGGAATTCCTTCACCCCAGCATGACCCAAACCAATCAAACCTGTTGCCATGAAGTCTATTCCTACTCATGGCAACTCCATGTGTTACAAGGCAGAACTGCTCCATAGGGTTTTCTTGGCTGTAAGCATAAGGAAACAGATCATCAGGCCTTTGTTCTGTGGTGCTGCTGGGTGGGTTCGAACCACCAACCTTTTGGTTAGTAGCCAAGAGCAAACTGTTTGCACCACCCAAGGACCTTCTCCAGCATGGCCAGATCTTGAGAAAGGGGCTGCCCTCGTGGAGATGAGCCAGTGAGATGCTCTTCTGGTGTTGTGAATCTCAAACCAACTGACCCTCCAGACATAGTCCCAGCCTCCCTGGGCCCATGTCCTTCCTAAGTGGGGTGCATCTGCTGAACCCGCTGTCCATCAAACTTCCCACAACCCTCCAGTACATTTCTCATCTGTGGGAGGTGGCAGGGTTCACTTTCTGAGCTTGCAACCAGAGTACACTGATGCTTAGTAGTTACAGTGCATCTCACGTCTAGTAGCAGGGAATTGTGTTGTTTTTAGCTGCTGTCTGGATGATTCTGACCCATGGTACCCCCAAGTGTGTCAGAGTAGAACTGTGTTCCATACGGTTTTCAGTAGCTGAATTTTTGGAAGCAGATTGCCAGGCTGTTCTTCCAAGTCATCTCTGGGTGGGTTTGAACCACCAACCTTTTAGCTAGTAGTCCATCTGGCCCCTACTGCAACTAAAAAGGGGGCACAATGCCTGTTGCAGAGCTTTTCTTTTGTTCTGGACCCCAATCAAAACTAGCAGCTTTTTGAGTCACTTGATAAATAGGCCAGAGTAACATCCAAATGGGAGATATGTTGCCTCCAAAATCCAAAGACGTCCACCAGGCATTATGCCCCCTTTTCAGTTGTAGTTCTAAATACCAGCTACAATCACGTGACCAGTTGCATAAATGAGGACTGTAATTGATTCCAGTATTTGTTTTATGTGTATGAGTGTGTGTGTACATATACATATGTATATATATATACAGGGAGAGAGCAAATATCTTTTTCTTCCCTCCCTTATTCCATTACTTATAAAATATAAGATGTAAACCTGGCTAGTGTGTTTTCGATTGTATGCATGTTAGCTGTATCATGTTAGGCACAAGTATGACTTTATAATTGTTTATTTAGAAATTGTGTATGGTTTAAGGAGATGTGTTCAGATGCCAGGTTGACAAGGAGTGGACTTTGATGGTTATGTGTCATCCTGGCTAGGCTATGATTCTCAGTGGTTTGGCAGATATTATGTAATCATCCTCCACTCTGTGATCTGATGTGAGCAGCCAATCAGTAGAAAAGGGAGTTTCCTTAGGGGTGTCTCCTGTATCAAATATATACAGATGTTCTGGCAATGCTTGGCCTCTCTGCACATCCAACTCATCCTCTGACTTCCAGCAGCCTGCCAAGTGATGTCAGACCCACTGATTTGGGACTTGCCTACCTCCACAACTGTGTGAGCCATTTCCTAAGAATAAATCTCTCTATACTATATACATACACACAAGGGTGAGTCAAAAAGTATGCTACAAAATCATAGAAACCTTTATTAAACAAAAATATCAAAATATGAAGCTATTGTTTCTTGACATATCATCCATCTAGGCCTATACACGTCTGAAGGCAGTGTTTCCATCTAACCATTCCCCCAGAGTTCTGTGCCCCTCGATGTACACCATGTCAAAATGGCAGTTTTGGCATCCTTGAGGGACTCAAATCGTGTTCCTTTTAAAATGTTCTTTGAGTGATGCAAACAAAAAGAAGTCTGAAGGGGCAAGATCAGGGCTGTAGGGTGGATGGGGTAAGGTTTCCCAATGAAATTATCATAGGACAACCCTTGCTACCCTTGAAGAATGAGCAGGTGCATTGTTGTGATGGAAAAAAAAATCCTTGGTGCAACTTTCCTGGCCTTTTTCTCACCAATGCAATTTTCAATTTTCTTAAAACTTCTTTGTAATAATCCCTTGTGATCGTCCTTTGTCTTTCAAGAAAATCAATCCAGATTACCCCTTTGGAATCCCCCCAAAAAAAGTCACCATAACCTTCTGAGTGGTCTTCCCTCTCTTGGCTCATCTTTGAGATTTTCCAAACCTTATAAAGCTTGATCCATCTAAAAACTATTGTTTTATGTGGGGCAGCATTCCCATAAACCTGTTGCAAAGCTTCAGTGATTTGGGAAGATGTCCACTTGAGTTCTGTTAAAAATTTGATATTAGCCCTGACCTCAAAATCCATTTTTTGAAGGCACCCTAACAAGACTAAGACAAATGTATTGCTGAGAGAACTTGTCTGCAGCCATCCACTGATCTGAGACATGTTTAAACACATTTTGTTAGGAATAAACCCATATATGTATGAACTGGACCCCTAGTAGCAATACCTTTTGATTTACCCTCATACATATATAAATATATACACACTTCCCTGGTTTTGCTCCTCTAGAGAACCCAACCCAAGACAATCTCCAACTCTACCACTCAGTAAGAAATCTGGCTCCCACCATCCACCATCCCTTTACTTAATTGTTCAATTCCAGTATACATGCATAGTGGTGTCAGAATTGTTAATCTGTACCCTGTGGGGAAAAAGCTCTGTTGAAGAGAGTACGATTCTCATGTACAGTTTCTTTGCCTCGAGTTTCACAGACTCCACTCATTTTCAAAGTTACTTAGGTCAATAGGTTCTCCCACTAAGCCAGTATAGTGAGGTTATTCTATGTGTTTGTAATACAGTTATTTTGTCACTTTTTTGATATAGTTGAAAAAGATTAAAATTTTAAACAAAATTCTATTGGAGTGGCATTTACTAGACAACAGTCAGATTTGAAAATGCTTTTTTATTAGACCAGAAAACTGACCCAATCTAAATTTGAACAGTCAAAATAAAAATAAAAAATGTGAGTGAATGTGAGATCTAGTGATATCAGTACAATCCATAAACACATTGTAGTATCATCTTCCAAGTACGATTGTCAGAAGATTGTGGTTTCTTCAATCTAAGCTTCTACACTCCAATAAATCCACTAAGAAAATAAATCCATGCTATCCAAAGTGTTTAGCATTCATTTTTTTGTTCTAAATATCTTTGTGAGGTAGAATGAGAATTTTAAAGATAAGCAGGTTGGGGACTTTGGCAAAAACAAACAGCAAATAAACACTGAATAATACTACACAATCATATTACTAGAACACAATGAAGGGGTAGCCCCAATATCACAGCTCCCACTGCCATGATGTGCAGTTGAAAGACAGGGTGAGCTAAAAGGAGAAATGCCCATTTTGACCAGTGAGAAGTCTTTTTGAAAAGATTACTCCAGGATGTTTCTCATCAGAAGAACACACCACTGATCTCGGACTCCTCATCAGCCCAAGGTTGATGTGTGATGGCCAGATGGGGATTTTTCTCTTCCACAGCTGTCAGAAGCAACTGAGTTTCCTCATCAAACACACATTTATTTAGCCTGGTAAAATATAAATAAGGTTTTCTTTACTTTACCCATGATTTTTTCCTCTCTATATTCCAATGACTACTTTCTCTTCATACTTTTCTAGAAATGACCAGGAGAATTTTACTGGATTTGAACATAAAGCACATATCTTTCCTATAGACTAGGAACTCTGTTTTACACAGTGCAGTGAAAGAACCTTATAAGGCATGTGTCACGAAGTCAGGATTAAAGTCAAAAAAGGTTGAAGTTGGGTAAAAATGACAACTTCCATTCATTGGATGTTTATGTGCCCAGGTGCACTAATTACTCCATCCTATACATATCTATACTTAAATAATGTATTATGGATTCTTCTCAAATGTGTGAATAAAGAGATTAGTATAATAAATCCCATGGACCCCTCATCTAGCTTCAACCGTTATCAATATCCAGTCTGTCCCATTAACATCCTGTTACGGGTAGATTCCTGTCCCCCACAAAATATGTTTAAGTCTTAATCCCTAGTACCAGTGAATGTGACCTTATTTGAAAATAGAGTCTTTGCAGATGGTATTGCTGTTAGGTGCCGTCCAGGTGGTTCTGACTCATAGTGACCCTATGTACAACAGTACGAAACACTGCCCAGTCCTGTGCCATTGTAGCAATTGTTGTTATGCTTGAGCCCATTGTTGCAGCCACTGTGTCAACACATCTTGTTGAGGGTTCTCCTCTTTTACCTGACCCTCTACTTTCCCAGGCATGAGGTCCTTCTCCAGGGACTAGAACCCTCCGATAACGTGTCCAAAGTATGTGAGACGGAGTCTCGCCATCCTTGCTTCCTAGGAGCATTCTGGCTGTACTTCTTCCAAGACAGATTTGTTCATTCTTCTGGCAGATGTTATTAGTTAGGCTAAAATAAGGTTATAATAGAGTATGTTGTTGTTAGCTGCTGTTCAGTTAGTCTCCGACTCATGGTGACTGCACGCACAACAGAATGAAACACTGCTTGGTCCTGCACTATCCCCATGGTTGGTTTCGTATCAGACTTTTATGATTCTTAGGGTTTTCGTTGGCTGATTTTCAGAAGTAGATCACCAGACCTTTCTCATACTGGAGTACAGTGAGTCCTAATCCAATATGAGTGATGTCCTCATAAGAGAAGAGACACAGAGACAGACATAGAGGAAAGACAGCCATGTGATGACAAGGCAGAGATAGCAGTGTTGCTGCCACAAGCCAAGGAACATCTGAGGGTAACGGAAGCTGGAAGAGTCAAGAAAGGATCTTCCTGTAGAGTCTTTAGAGACAGCATGGCCCTGCTGATACTGAATTTGAGCTTCCAGCCTCCAGAACTGTGAGAATAAATTTCTGTCATTTTCAGCCACCTGTAGTTTGTGGTAATCTGTCACAGCAGACCTAGGAAACAAATATACACCTCCCCACACTTTTTGTGAGGTAATTTAAAGAAAATACTAGACTTAATTTCACCCACAAATACTTCACACATTCTTGTTATTTCCACCTCATTCCATGTCATTGTCTCCTGAACCCACTTCATCAAAGCTGGTTTTTATGGGCACCGAAAACATAACAATAGCGTATCTATTCCCCAACTCAACACTTCTCAGCATCTCACACATTACTGCCCACCCCAGTGTAAAATAAGTTCCACGAGGGCAGGGATGTTGTTGTTGTTATGTGCCATTGAATCAGTTCTGACTCATAGCAACCCTATGTACAACAGAATGAAACACTGCCTGGTCCTGCGCCATCCTCACATCTGTTGTTATGTGTGAGCCCAGTGTCACAGCCACTGTGTCAATCCATCTTGTTGAGGGTCTTCCTCTTTTTCACTGACCATCTACTTTACCAAGCATGATGTTCTTCTCCAGGGACTTGATAACATGTCCAAAGTATGTAAGACGTAGTCTTGCCATCCTTGCTTCTAAGGAGCATTCTGGCTGTACTTCTTCCAAGACAGGTTTGTTCATTCTTTTGGCAGTCCATGGTGTATTCAATATTCTTGGCTAACCCCACAATTCAAAGGCATCAATTCTTCTTCAGTTTTGCCTATTCATTGTCCAGCTTTCCCATGCATATGAGGTGATTGAAAACACCATGACTTGGGTCAGGCACACTTTAGTCTTCAAGGTGACATCTTTGCTTTTCAGTACTTAAAAGAAGTCTTTTGCAGCAGATTTGCCCAATAGCAATGCGTTTTTGATTTCTTGACTGCTACCTCCACGGGTATTGATTGTGGATCGAAGTAAAATGAAACCCTTGACAACCTCAATCTTTTCTCCTTTTATCATGATGTTGCTTATTGGTCCAGTTGTGAGGATTTTTGTTTTCTTTATGTTGAGGTGTAATCCATACTGAAGGCTGTGGTCTTTGATCTTCATCAGTAATGCTTCAAGTCCTCTTCACTTTCAGCAAGCAAGGTTGTGTCATCTGCATAACGCAGGTTGTTAATGAGTCTTCCTCCAACCCTGATATCCTATTCTTCATATAGTCCAGCTTCTCGGATTATTTGCTCAGCATACAGATTGAATAGGTATGGTAAAGGGTACAACCCTGAGGCACACCTTTCCTGACTTTGAACCACGCAGTATCCCCTTGTTCTGTGTGAATGACTGCCTCTTGATCTATGTACAAGTTCCTCACGAGCACAATTAAGTGCTCTGGAATTCTCATTCTTCACAATGTTATCCATAATTTGATATGATCCACACAGTTGAGCACACAGTCGAATGCCTTTGGATAGTCAGTAAAACCCAGGTAACATTTTTCTGGTATTCTCTGCTTTCAGCCAGGATCCATCTGACATCAGCTATGATATCCTTGGTTCCATATCCTCTTCTGAATCTGGCTTGAATTTCTGTTATTTCCCTGTTGATATACTGCTGCAGCCACTTCAGCAAAATTTTATTTGCTTGTGATATTAATGATACTGTTCGATAATTTCCGCATTTGGTTGGATCACCTTTCTTTGGAATAGGCGTAAATATGGATCTCTTCCAGTTGGTTAGCCAAGTAGCTTTCTTCCAAATGTCTTGGCATAGTTGAGTGAACACTTTCAGCACTGCATCTGTTTGTTGAGACATCTCAATTGGTGTTCTGTCAATTCCTGGAGCCTTGTTTTTTGCCAGTGTCTTCAGTGCAGCTTGGACTTCTTCCTTCAGTACCATCAGTTCCTCATCATATGCTACCTCCTGAAATGGTTTAACATCAACCAATTCTGTTTTGGTATAGTGACTCTGTGTATTCCTTCCATCTTCTTTTGATGCTTCCTCTGTCTTTTAATATTTTCCCTGTAGAATCCTTCACTATTGCAACTTGAGGCTTGAATTTTTTGTTCAGTTCTTTCAGCTTGCGAAATGTCAAGTCTGTTCCTCCCTTTTGGTTTTCTAACTCCAGGTCTTTGCACACATCATTATAATACTTTACCTTGTTTTCTTGAGCCGCCCTTTAAAATCTTCTGTTCAGCTCTTTAACTTCATCATTTCTTCCTTTCGCTTTAGCTACTCAGCGTTCAAGAGCAAGTTTCAGAGTCTCTTCTGACATCCATTTTGGTCTTTTCTTTCTATCCTGTCTTTTTAATGAACTTTGCTTTCTTCATGTATGATGTCCTTGATGCCATTCCACAACTTGTCTGGTCTTTGGTCATTAGTCTTCAATACGTCAAATCTAATTTTGAGATGGTCTCTAAATTCAGGTAGGATATACTCAAGGTCACATTTTGGCTCTCGTTACTTGTTCCAATTTTCTTCAGTTTCACCTTGAACTTGCATATGAACAATTGATGATCTGTTCCACAGTAGGGCCCTGGCCTTGCTCTGACTGATGATATTGAGCTTTTCCATTGTATCTTTCCACAGATGTAGTCGATTTAACTCCCGTGTATTCCATCTGGTGAGGTCCATGTATATAGTCACCGTTTATGTTGCAGAAAAAAAGTATTTGCAACGAAGAAGTCATTGGCATTGCAAAATTCTGTCATGCGACCTCCAGCATCTTTTCTATCACCAAGGCCATATTTTCCAACAATCAAACCTTCTTTGTTTCCAACTTTTGCATTCCAATCACCAGTAATTATCAATGCATGCTGATTGCATGTTTGATCAATTTCAGACTGCAGAAGTTGGCAAAAATCTTCAATTTCTTCATCTTTGGCCTTAGTGGTTGGTGCATAAATTTGAATAATAGTCATATTAACTGGTCTTCCTTGTAGGCGTATGGATATTATCCTGTCACTGACAACATTGTACTTCAGAATAGATCTTGAAATGTTCTTTTTGACAATGAAAGCAACACCATTCCTCTCCAAGTTGTCATTCCCTCATTGTAGACCATATGCTTGTCTGATTCAAAATGGCCAATACCAGCCCATTTCAGCTCACTAATGCCTAAGATATCGATGTTTATGCATTCCATTTCGATGATTTCCAATTTTCTTAGATTCATACTTTGTACATTCCACATTCTGATTATTAATGGATGTTTACAGCTGTTTCTTCTCATTTCGAGTCATGCCACATCAGCAAATGAAGGTCCCAAAAGCTAGAGTCCTTCTATGTCATTAAGGTTGACTCTACTTTGAGGAGTCAGCTCTTCCCCAGTGGTATTTTGTATGCCTTCCAACCCGAAGGGCTCATTTTCCAGCACTATATCAGACAATGTTCCACTGCTATTCATAAGGTTTTTACTGGCTAATTCTTTTCAGAAGTAGACCACTGGGTCCTTCTTCCTAGTCTGTCTTAGTCTGGAAGCTCAGCTGAAACCTGTCCACCATGGGTGACCCTGCTGGTATTTGAATACCAGTAGTATAGCTTCCAGCATCACAGGAACATGAAAGCCCCCACAGTACGTCAAACTGACAGACACGTGGGGGAGGTCAGGCATAGGAACCATTTTATTCATAGCCACACTCTCAGCTAGTCCTCCATGAACTGGAAAATAGCGGCATTCAAATATTCATCTGACAGACGTCAAATATTTATACCCTAAGTGTAAACGCGTTCAGAACAATATTAACAATATTTCTCTTCAGTGACTACGTTTCTGGGTCAGGACTCTGCTCAGCCGTTTACAGACACCCCCTCTATGACCCCTGCTTTGCCAACCCAGATGTGGGATTACATTTTTATGGGTAATGAAAGCAGGAGGTGGTATTTACAATAAACTGGTTGCTGTCAAGTTGACTCAGACTCATGGTGCCCCCATGTGTGTCAGAGTACAGCTGCGCTCCATAGGGTTTGCAATAGCTGAATTTTCGAAGTAGATTGCCAGGTCTTTTCTCCAAGGAACCTCTGGGTGAACTCAAATCTCCAGTCTTTCAGTTAGCAGCTGAACACATTAACCATTTGCACCACCAGGGGTCTCCAGTGTTTATAATAGAGCAGTGGTTCTCAGTTGGGGTGGTGCAATTACTTAATATGGCCCTTCTAGCCATAGTTTTTGTAACTCCCACCAAATGACTGAGTTGGACTATGCAAATGAGGTATATGGAAACTTATCAAGGGGATTGGTCAGTTTTGCTACCCCCCAGGCTTAAAGGAAGACACTGAGAGAGTAGGAGCTATAACATGGAAGAGAGAGGGAGAGCTGTAACACTGGAGATGGCAAGAAGCAGTGGCAGAGAAACGGTAGCAGAACCAGGGGACTAGCAGGAGATGGCTGGTTGGTCTTCCCAGCCCATGGAGTTGGAAAGCTGAGTGCCTTGGGGCAGGAGGCTTACTGGCAGACTGGGGTGCCTCTAGGTACTTATCAGCAGAACTAAAAGAGCTTTGTAACACTTGCCCAGGCAAGGCAGAGGTTAGGCCAAGGGGCTGAAGGGCCAAGGACCAGGTAGAGACCTGCCTGTGGGCATGGCTGAGAAGGGCTGTCCTGATCAGAAGAATCATATCATGAGCATTCATGATCCTGAACTGTAACCTGTTACTTCCCTAATAAGCCCCATAATTGTGACTATTGTCTGAATTCTGTGTGGCCATTGCAATGAATTATCAAACTCAGCAGAGAAGTAGAATGTGCCATAGGAGGGAAAAATAAGTGTCAGAATTGGAAAAAAGGGATGGTGAGAAGAGGTATGTCTGACCTCTGCCTCATAGGAATCAGGTTTGGACTGTTGATCTTGATTCTCTTTCTTCCCTTATGAAGTTGGAGGAGGACAGACACCTCCCCCATGCTATTTTTAGAGGTGGTTTTGCACACCAGGAGATACCTGACAATGTCTGGAGACATTTTTTTTATCGTCATGACTGCAAAGGTGTGCTACGGACATCTAGTGAGCAGAGGCCAGGAAGGCTGCTCAACATCCTATATTGCACAGGGCAGCCCCCCAAGACAAAGAATGATCCAGCCCAAATGTCATTTGTGCCAAGATTGAGCAACCCTATAATAGAGTAAGGAGTCCCTGAGTGGCGGAAGTGGTTAAGTGCTTGACTACTTGCTGAAAATTTGGCAGTTCCAAACCACCCCACAGTGCCTTGGAAGACAGGCCTGGTGGTCTACTTCTGAAAGGTCACAACCTTGAAAATACTATGGAGTGGTTCTAGCCTGTAACACTCAGGGTCACCATGAGTGGGAGTCGACTTGATGGAAACTAACAACAACATAATAGACTAACCTTGCTTTGATGTCATGCACCGTCAAGGGAATCAATGTCCACTCACCCAAGAGTCTGCAGGGCACAGTCCAGGTGGCTCAGTGCCTCACACAGCACCACCACCCCATCGTGGTCAAAGGTGTTCCAGTCCAGGTTCAGACTCCTCAGGGTTTTGCAGGCAGTGAGAGCAGAGGCGAGGTCCTCACAGCAGGCAGTGGTAAGCCCACACATATCCAGCCTGCAACGGGGAAATGCAGCAGAGAAATGGCCCCCGATTTGGGCAGGCTGGAAGGCAGATGGTTGTCTCCGCCAACCCTGTGCCTCTGAGCAGAAGACTCTGCAGTCTAAACCCACTGTTCTCAACGGGGCAATAGCACCCCCGGGGGACATGTGGCAATGTCTGGAAACATTTGTCACACCTGGGCATGGTGTTACTGGCATCTTGTTGGTAGAGGCCAGGGATGCTGTTAAACATCCTACAATGTGTAGGACGGCACTCCCCTACCACAAAGACTATCTGGTCTCAAATGTCAACAGTGCTGAGGTTGAGAAACCTTGGCTCAGTGAGACGACACTTTAAATACTGGAGTGTCCCAGGCAGATTTTGTTTTTAAACCTATTTCCCTTTAGCTTTATCAACACCCCAGCTTTTCCTACTCTTAAAATAGGGAACCCTCTGCACTCAGCTAACTGAAAGGTTGGCTATTGGAACCCACCCAGAGGCTCCATGAAAGAAAGGCTGAATGATCTGCTTCTGTAAAGATAACAGCTAAGAAAACCCTTTGCAGTAGTTCTACTCTGTAACACATGAGGTTGCCATGATTTGGAGTTGACTCAAAAGCAACTAAAAATAATAACAACAACCCCATAAAGATGATCTGTGGCTACTCACCCAAGATTCTGTAATTTACAGTTAGGATGATTCAAAGCTACACATAAGTGCTTGACACCAACATCTAGAATTCCATTGTTTCCAAGTTTCAGGGTCTTTAGTGTTTTGTTGCTAATAAGAACAGAGGAAATGTCCTTACAGCAGTCAGGAGTGAGGAGACAATTCGCCAGCCTGGAGGGAAAAATACACACATGCGCATGCACGCATGCGCGGAGCGCGCACACACGCACACGCGCGCACACACACACACACGAGGTCCAATCTTAATGACTTACTTTGTTTTTATTTATTCTTATGAAGCAAGAAACAAGAGATTATGATGATGGGGAAGATGCGATGACCTTATTTTGCTCAGAATGAAAGAAAATTTCTTAAAATGACCTACAGGACTCTAAAATCTCTGTCCCTCCCCCACCCCATTACCTATATTCTTCACCTACCCCACTCTGCTCCAAGCACTCAGGACCCACCTGGCTCACTCCCCATCTCTGTGCCTCTGCTCTGGTTGCTCTCCTGCTTGAAATGCTCCTGCCCCAGACATCAGCAGAGCTACTCCCTCTCCCCTTCAAATCTCTGCACAGATTTCACTTTCTCAGTGAGGCCTACTCCAACTAGTCAATATAACACGTCCCCAGTCCCTCTCCAGCCCTTAGACTAATGATTCCTCATAGTGTTTTCACCTTCTATCACACACACACAAATATATGTATGTGTACATATGTATATACTATATGTGTGAACACATTATACATGTGCATATACATATATGTGTGTACATGTACATGTTCTATGTGCATATATTGTGCATGTTGTATGCTTGAATGTGTATACATTTTAAATGTATATGTGTAAATATTGTATGTATATACGTATGTGCATGTTGTATACGTATATGTGCATGCTATGGGTATGTACATGCATATATTATATGCATATATGTTATGCATGTATAGATGTATTTATTATGTGCACATACATGTATATATTATATGTGTATACATGTTTTTATGTGTATATGTTTGTGTATGTATGTACGTATATAGAATTCCTGGGTGGTACAAATGGTTAAGCACTCAACTACTAGCCAAAAGGTTGGCCGTTTGTATCCACTCAAAGGCGCCTGGGAAGACAGGCCTGGCGATCTACTTCTAAAAGTTCACAGCCTTGACAAGCCTATAGAGCAGCTCTACTCTACACACATGGTGTCGCCATGAGTTAGAGTTGACTCTACAGCTGGAATCAGATGGGCAGAGTCCAGGGATGTGGCCAAGCATTTTACAATATACAAAACAGCCTCCCACAACAAAGAATAATCTAGACCAAAATGTTAATAGCGCTGAGATTGAGAAATCCTGAAATTCACACACATATACACGTACTAAGGGAGACCTGGTGGCGCAACGGTTAAGCGTTCGGCTGCTAACCCAAAAGTCAGCAGTTTGAACACATCAGTGGCTCTGTGGGAGAAAAGACCTGGCGATCTGCTCCCATAAAGATCACAGCCTAGGAAACCCTATGGGGCAGTTCTACGCTGTCCTACAGGGTCACTATGAGCACACAACAACATATACATACAATTTCACACACATACAGACATGTTGTGCATGTGTATGTATATACGTAAACATATTTACATGTATATACAAACATTTATGTGTATGTGCATGCATGCAATGAACATGTACAATACAGTGTTACGTATGTACATGTGTATACACACCCAGAAAGACAGATACATATATATACATACACACACACACACACACACACACACATACGAATGATACTCTGTAAAATAGAATTGATGGGGACAGGGACACTGGAATGTTTTACCAATTTATCGTCTCCACCCACAACAGTTGCCAGTACCTAGTAGAAGGAATGAATGATTCTTATGTTATGTCTCCTACTATCACATATTGAGTGTTTATTATGTGTCAACCAGAGATAATAGCTCTTTATGTGCATTATTCTAGCTGGTCACCTCAATTACCTAAGGTCGAGACTATGATTATCCTCCGCTGGCACTTGTGGGAGGTGGGCCACTTGTGCAAGTTCACACAGTCAAGCAACCACACTCAGGGCTCTAGTTCAGGTTTTTCTGAGGCCAGAGACTCAACTACACAGTAGCATGGTGGGCTACCTCTGTCCTAACAGTTCTTTAGGTGAGACTCAAGATTGACACAGCAATCCTTCTCCTCACTATGTACCCAGAAGAAGTGAAGGCAGGAACGCAAAAACGAAACAAAACAAAAAACCTGTACAATTTTCACTGCAGCACTTTTTACAATAGCCAAAAGGTGGAAACAACCAAAATGTCCATCAACAGATGAATGGGTAAATAAAATGCAGGGTATACACACAATGGGATTCTACTCATCCATAAAGAGAAATGAAGTCCTGATGCATGCCGCAACATGGATGAACCTTGAAAACATATTGAGCAAAATGAAAGTCAGTCGCAAAAGGACAAATACTATACCATCTCACTTATATGAAATAAGCAAATGCATAGAAACCAAAGATTATTAGTGGTTACCAGGGGGGGATGGGAGGGAAGGGTAAAGAGAGGAGTTTTTGCTTGGGGGCATTGAGTTTATGTTAATAGTGGTCGAATTATTTGAAAAAGGATACTGAGAATGGCTGTACAACTTGAAGAGTGTAACCAATGTTGCTGAATTGTATATGTAGAAATTGAGATAGCGTATGTTTTGTTATGTATATTTTCACCACACACACACACACATACAGCATGCTCACTGAACATTCCTAGAAGAACCAGACAGGGTAAACATCTAGCTTGTTTTCGTCCCCACTCTCTGTTTTCGTCCCCACTCTCTGTTTTCATCTCCACTCTCTGTTTTCTTCCCCAGGATGTCAGTATCCAAAAACGAAACCATGATGTCAAGCAAATCATGGCCAGACCTACCATAACTCCTCTATGTGACAGTTTGGGTTCTTCAAGCCTTCACATAAAGAATTCACTCCATTGTCTTTCAGGGTATTTGACCCCAGATCGAGAAGGGTCAGGGACTGGCTACACAAAAGAACTTGGGAGATGTAGTCACAGGAGACAGAGGAGAGACAACAGTAATTTAACCTGCAAAGATACACACACATATCAGCATGCTTAACCTTTATACGGAAATATTCTCATGAAGCCACATGCAAACATTTTCAAGTTGTGCCTTATAATCTGCTGTCCCAGATTCCTCTCCCGTGATTTCCTTACTTAAGAAAATCAAAAGATTAAAACTTCTAGCAGCTGCAAAAACACAGAATAAAGAATATGAAATACATTGGAGAATTCCTGATTCCAGTTCCAACTCAGATCACCCTAGGCTGGGCGACCTTGGACAAAAATCACCCAGTCTTGTGACATCATGTACTTATGGTTTAATAAGATGTGTTAGACAACATCCTATTTAAAATAACTTTCATTTTTAAAAGGACTATTTAAAAGTAATTAAAAAACAAAGCAAAACAGTTTCTACCAAATTAACTCTGACTGGTGTGTCAGTAGAACCGTGATCCGTAGGGTTTTCAATGGCTGATTTTTCAAAAGTAGATCACAAGATCTTTCTTCAAAGGCACATCTTGCTATACTCAAACCTCCAACCTTTGTGTTAGTAGCTGAGCATGTTAACCATTTGTACCACCCAGGGACTCCAAAATTAATTTTGTGTTTATGAAATGAATTCTTGTAAACTTATCATTGAAAATTTGGAAAATAGAGGGACGTATAAGAGACAAGTCACAAAGTGGTAGCTAAAGGCTGAATATAGCCCCTGGGTATAGTTTATTTAGCTGACATCATGTTTTACATACATATGGATATACTTTTATTATTTTTTTAATTACCAGTCAACATTTTAAAACTCAAGTATTTCATGTATAATTCTATATTTATAACTACTAAAAGGAATCCCTGGGTGGTGCCCCTATGGATCACAGTGGTTCCATCCCCAACAAATCATGGGGATGGTGCAGGACCAGGCGGCATTTGGTTTTGTTGTTTATGGGGTCATTATGAGTTGGGGGCTAACTCAATAGCAGCTAACAACAACAATTAGATGTGAGGCATCTAAGGGCTAGTCTTGCATCTCTGAATTCGACTTCACAGCACTTCTATGGAGCAAGTGTTTGTATCAGGAGTTCGAACTTGTTTGAACTGGTTAAGTCATGGCCGATGGAATAAAACCAGAACAGACGTGGATTTTTACAGTTGTGTGATCTGGAACAATAACAAGAACAGGAAAAATTACAGGTTGAAGCCATGGAATGGAAGACCTGGAAAAGGTGTAGTGAGCCCTTTCAGGAGCCTGATGTGTGAGACTGGATTATTGCCAGGACTGTGGAGAGTGACACACATTCAAAGTAGCATGGCCAGCCACCATGTTTGAGCAGGGCACCACTGTTTCTGACTCTGCTCAGATTCCAAGAGCCAAGAGATTTGGTTGCTACTCAATGCCTATGCTGTCCTTGTGTTTTAAAAGGGAGATTAGGATTCTAGCAGCACTTTCACCCATAACTTTTCCTGTTCTGGTTATCATTCTGGTTCACTCAAATTTTAAAAACTTAGGTCTGTTCAGGTTTTGCTTCCTCAGCCATGACTGAACTAGGAAGAAACAGTTAAAAGCCTTGGTTTGTATTGGCTCCATTTTACTGATGTGGCAGCTGAGGCATGGAGACATGACTCAGGTTTGTCTAACTACACAGCCTGTGCTTTTGATCTCTGTGTTCTGTCATCTCCCTCAGTAAGAATTTGATGGCCTTGATCATTGATGGGTCCCATGTATACACTTCTGCATTTTCCCCCAGAGCATGCTTTTCCCAGACAGACTCACACCAGTGTCTCCAGGGCACAGTTGGGATGCTTCAGGGCATCACACAGCATTATTGCTCCTTCATCATCCAGGAAATTTTCTACCAATGAGAGATGTTTCAGCTTATTATTGCAGATGAGGACAGAGGCAATATCTTCACAATCTTCATCTGTGATGTTACATTTTCCCAACCTACATGGGAGATACATGTTGTGGGATTGGATCAAATGATTTAGAAGGCTTATGCAGGGTTGGGTACCCCTGCTTCTAATTCTGCACCCACCAATCCACTCTCTACATCCTAGACTTTTTCTTAATATTCAGGGATTACACATATGCTGCAAAAGACTTCTTTAAAGTCTTAAAAAGTAAAGATGTTATTTTGATGACTAAGGTGCTACTAACTCATGCCATGTTTTTTTCGATTGCTAGACAATGAAAAGAAAGACAGAAGAGTTGATGTGTTTGAACTGTGGTGTTGGTGAAGAACATTGAATATACAGTGGACTGCCAGAAGAACCAACAAATCAGTCTTAGAAGAAATACAATCAGAATGTTCCTTACAAGCAAGGATGGCAAGACTTCAGCTCACTTACATCATGAAAGACCAATTGCTAGAAAAGAACTCCATGTTTGGTAACGTAGATTGTCAGCGATAATGAGGGAAATCTTCCAGGAGATGGATTGACACAACAGCCACAACAATAGACTCAACAATATCAACAATCACGTGGATGGCACAGGACGGGCCAGCATCTCGTTCTGTTACATATAAGGTTACCAGGAGTCGGAGTTGACTCGATGGCAGCTAACAATAATATATAAATTTAAAAATATAAATTATAA